TGTACTGTATCCCTAAAATGTACCAATAAACTCAATTAAAGCTGAAAAAAAAAAAAAGAAAGTACACCACTGAAACACATACAGCTAAGATATATTACTAGCAAAGTAGAAACTGTGGAATAAACAACATGGATACACTACTACTTCATTTGAAGCAAACCTATCTGCATGCAAAGCACAAAAATTGATCGTCATCCACTATGCTCAAAGAACAGGGAGAAAACCATACCAACTCAATATGGCAAAAGTAAAAGGTAATATGATATAAGTGAATGAGAGTAGACAATGAATGACAGGAAAATCAAATCCCTCTCCCCATAGCATCAACTAGGGACTCAAGGGACACTGTTCGTTGTTGACCAAAAAGGCACAACTGGCTAAATATATCACTTAAAAGTATGATATAAATGCAAGAATGAAATATAACATCTCAACTCTTGAGAGGTGAGGGAAAAGGAAGGCTGTAGAGAGTGTAGTAAGTGTGCTATGTCTTTATTTGTTACAGTCTCTCAGATAGACTGATAACTAAGCAAATTACAGAGCATATGATTCAGGTATAAAACACATATGTATGCACATGCTACTCTAAGGAATACACACACACACACACACACACACACACGTGGCACATACACAGGGAATATGCTGGCAGTGGTTTCTATGCAAGGCAGCCTGGGTGTGAGAAGAAATGCGAAGAATGAGTATAAGCTCTTCTCTGTGAACTTTCCAGACAGGACTGTGGGTTTGGGGGACAGAAAGCAGCTATAAATTGGTAGTCGGTCATGCAGGAGGGGAAAATGTGAGAACCTGATAACATCAACCTCCCCAAATCACAAATATAAGCATGACTAAAACTTATGCAGATAGAAGTGTAAAATATCAGAATTCAGCTCCATCATCTACAAGTTTGATTTTTATAGTTAAAAAATTACTGACTCCTTCAACTTAATTATAAATACACTGGGAAATATACATACATCCCGTGTAACTTCTCCCCGCTTAGGTCAAAATGGAACTTTAAGGACTAGGAATGCCTTCTGCTACTGTAACGAAAACTACTCTGCTTTTGGGGTAAGGAGACTAAAAAGGCAGGTGCAGGGCCTACCCGCCTCCGTGGCAGCCCAGCCGCTTGCCCACTTCCCGCTGTAGCAGGCTCTCCAGGAGTGACTTCAGTTCGGGGGAGAAGGTGTCTGGGAGCTCCACGTTCTGGGAAGAGAAGAGAGAGACCTTATAAACCTTCACGCCAACCAGATGCTACGCTGCTTCTCAAAAGCACAGCAGGAAAAGCTGCAGATTCATCATAGATGAATACTGCCACACAAACATAAAAACAAACATACAAAGAGTACTAGTTCCAAAGCCAGTCAGCAGGCAGGAGCCAAATAATTGCTCCTTTTATTTCATTTCCTCGGTTTCTTCATTCTATGTCCTTTTTATGTGATCTGTTTGCAAATCTTGATTTTTACCACAACATCTGGTTCATTTTATTTTCCTTTTAAGATTCTTCCAAAGAGGCGGGGGGTGTAGCTCAGCGGTTCTGCCGCCTGCCTCACAAGCGCAAAGACCCGAGTTCGATCCCCGGTAGAAAAAAAAAAAAAGCGTTCTTTGAAGAATTTTATCTTCATTCATTTGTTTCAGGAAGGCAAAGTTTTATGCTTTTTAAATTTCTATATTATATATATTATTTTTAGCCTATTTTCTATAATACAGTAATTTTAGTATTAGTGGAAAAAACATGAAGACACTATGATGCAAATAAGAATATAGCTTTTAATCCCCTTACCACGGTGAGTGTCATTCGGTCTATCTCATGCTTATCTTTGGTTTTGTGTTGTCTGAAAGGGCTGTGCCTGTAGAGATAAAAAACACTCTGTTAAAATATGGCATCAGCTGTTGGCTCATGCACTAATATTTGGGCAAAGTATGATTTGAAACTATAGAAATGCCAAAGTCATAAACACTGATCATTCTAGAAAAAACTGGTGAGCAAATACATTAGACCCCGAAGACACCATCTCACCTGATTTGTCCGATCCTTACGTCAGTGAGATTGTGACAATGAAATGTGGTTTTATAATTAAAATATCATTCAAGGGAAAAATCAGTCAACAGATAATCATGAAAATATGAGTCATTTACAGAAATGTCATGAGTGTTTATATGAACAATAACTTCAATGAAATTATTTTAGCAAAGTGGATACTGGCCCTTAAAACAACCCATGGAAGGACAGTCAAGGCCAGTGAAGCTAAGCAATCTATTCCTTTATGGACAACAGAGATAAACAATCATGCACCACCAGGTACCCGAGGACCTGGGTGCTTCCTTAGGTTTTGCTCATGCAGGGCCCCAGACTTCAGAGTCAGAAAAGTTGGGAAAATTGTGATCCAGCTATTTACTGGCTGTGAGCCAGGAGTTACCAGTCAATACTGATGTGCTTATCTGTAAAATGGGGATTATGCCTCGCTCTTCACAGAAGGGAAGGGAAATTAAAAAGAGAAGGTGAAGAGGAACTAAGAAGTGATGGTGAGTATTCAACACGACGGCAGTGTACAGTAGGCAACGACCACAGTAATCCCTTGTACAGTTAACAGAGACAACTCTATAAAATGAATCTTCAACTTGATAAACTATCATTAGACTTACTCTCTACCATGTTAAAAAGAACTCTGGAGAATCGACTTTTATGGAGGAAAATTCTGTCATTAAAAGACATGCAAATTAGAACCGCATAGCCTATTTATTTACTGGAAAATTGAAGGGATACAGTCGATTTTCTTATAATGAGTAACACATGTCTGCAGAGTTTATTGATAAGGTATTTATGATATAACTTCAGGCAAGGTATTATGCAAAGTATTTTAATGTTAACTTTACAAAATGGGTTGGAAAGCTGAGCACATGAGTGAAGGGGATTCGAGAAAAGAACAGAAATGTCTCTGTCCCTTTGCTGCTACTTCCTGCTTTGGAGCTGGCCACCACTGAGGCAGGCGGGGCAGGCAGGGCAAGCAGGGCCCTATCCCTTTGAGAGGTGATGTACTGCTTTAATACAGTAATTTCAATTTTCTCTTTGGGCAACAGAGGGCACTCTCATACTTTATTTTCTTTCTTATCACGCAATGAAATACAAAGTAATTTCCATCTCTTAAAAGCATTAATCTGAAAACCAAAACGGGAATTGGAACTAAGCAGGCACTGCTAATCTTTTAAAATAAACTTTGACTGCAAATATTCTTTTCACTTTGTTTCCATGGAGAAAAACGTACAATGAGAACATTAAAAAGCAAACAAGGTATTTGTTATTCATAAGATACTGCAATTTTTAAATAAAATCATGCTTTTATCATTCTTTTATATAAAATCCATAGAAGTAGTAACATGTTGACTGTTTCAGAGAAAGGGAATAGAAGTTTATTAAATCTTATTAACACATCAGTTTCTCTCCTTGACACTTAGCTGTTTTTGACAGTGTTTCCACATATAAAAAGGGGTCCAGGGAAGAACCTGATTTTTGGTCAGTTCTTCTGACCTGGCTCCTGTGTGCAAAGCCAGAGGACCCCGCCCTGAACTTGATCCTGCCGTGGTGTGAACAGTGAAATTTAACTGTCATCACGATACTGGGAGGCGGGGTCTTGAAGAGGCGATGAGATCACGCGGACTCCGTCTTTATGAATGGATTGAGGTGGTTATCAAGGGTGTGGGTCAGTTGCCAGAGGAATGGGTTTAGCGATGGCAGGAGGGGTTGTTACAGAGTGAGCTTGACTTCCTCGGCTTCCTCGCCGCGGCGAGCCCACTGTCCTGTTAGGACGAAGCACAAACGCCAGAAGGGGGCTGAACGCGGGTCCTTGCGCTTGTGAGGCAGGCAGCGGAAGCACTGAGCTGGATCCCCGGCCCGACGTGGGCTAACGTTAAAGCCTTTCATGAGACCACAGAGAGGCCTGAAAGAGGACTGGAGTGAAAGCTGGTGGTGCTAAAAGCACTGCCAGCACATGGGGCCAAGCACTGTAACTTTCCATTTATAAATATAGCAAGCCCATGTCCCTCCCGCTCAAGAAAGAATTATCAGAAATTGCTTTTCAGTTATTCAACTCTATGCTGTCTTGTTGAGAAAGTTTTGGCTTTCAAATTAAAATCCCGATGCACATCTGTTTCCAATGAAGCCTTGATTATTCTTTGTGAAAAAAGCCCAAGATTTGGCTTCTATTTTGGGAAATGTTAAAGAAAACCTCTGATAGTAATAATCTCCATTCTGAGCGGGGCCTGTGGCGCTCACAGATCCTGTGTGAGGCCAGCTGCTCCCTGGCACTGCCTGCTCTAAATGGGAGACACCAACGGGCCTGTCATCGGTCTGCAGTGCACAGCCAAGGTGCCTGAGCAGCACAAGTGACATTCCAGCCTCATCAGGAAACAGCGTGGGGACAGAATTCTCTGTGCAGTGGTCAAGGGCAGCTGCTGCCTTACAGACAGTGGGAAGCGAATGTGTCCTCCTAAGGAGTGGGAATCATTCAAGAGCATGAGAATGCATAGGCACATGCCCCATACGTGTATCAAAGTAACAGTTCAACAGTGAGTTCAAAACAGAGAGATGAAAAACACAACAAAAATTAACTTTTGAATACCAAAAAGATGGGATGTTATATTATACATGCCTTTTGAGTCTGAGCCTGTAACTGCCAAAATATTTGCAAACACTCCTATTTTTTTTCCCCACATGGAGAAAACTCAGTAACCCCAGGCAACTACCAACTCTACCCAGGCTCTTGCCCGATATCTGACACCTCCAAGCACAGACAACGAATGGTGACAAGCTTATGACTGAGGCCACTACTACATCAATTCTTTTTAACAGACATCCTCCATCTAGATGGAGGATCATGATGGCAGTGCCACAGATTTGCAATGCAGACACATGTTCATACACAACAGGTGCCCTTCACCATCTGACAGTCATCTGAGACAGAGGCAGTGACCATACCCATAAACACGACGTACGGTTGGGCCCATTTGTTGCTGTGAGCCCAGGGATGCAAGACACCATCTAGAGCCAGGCAGTGTCCTCCCACCCAGATCCCTGCTCCAAACGCCTGTGCTGCTGCTGTGTTTCGGGAGCAGTGATGGTGAACCTCTTAGAGCTTTCAATGATACAAACACAGCCCGCTGAAGCGTGTACAACACAGGTTTGCCACCCCTGTTCTGGGGTATCAGGAAAAAGGAGGTATGCAGAACAGTATTTTGGCAGAGGAGACAGGACATACTGTTTAGTGGGAGGAGGACTACATCACAGCAAATAAAAACTGCAAACAATGCCTTGTGACTGTTGGCTCAATCTTGTTGTACAGGTGTGGAAAGATGGCGAAGGTCTTGCTCTAGAGCAGGGTTCCTTATCTCAGCACGCCAACATACAGGTTGGTGCAGGGGACCAGCCTGGGCACTGTAGCAGCAGCCTTGGCCTGTACCCACTATACACTAGCTCTTCTCCAAGTTATGACAACTACAAATATCTCCAAGCGGTGCCATGCGCTCCCTGAAGGTCGGGCACAAGCTCCAGGGGGCTGCTAGCACAGTGTCTGGCTACAGCAGCTTCATGACAGTGTCAGGATGCAAAAAAGACAGGTTACCCCAGGAGGTCCCACTGGTGCTGGCTCCGTGCTCTGGCCACTCAGACTCCTGCTTCACTCATTTCTGTTTCTTGGGTCTTGTGTCATAGAAAGGACAGCTGTTGGGGTTCGCACCCTTCTAGATGATGTATGAACACACAGGGTGCGGCTAGACACCAAGCTGAGGTTTTCCACACAAATCTTTGTCAGGACTTGGGACAAGTGGCACCACGTAGCAGTCTCCTGAATTCATAGCTCAGGGAATAAAGGCTCCTTTGCATGGCCACACCTGCTGGCCCCATCATAGGTGTCTACTCCTGAAAGGCCCCAGGCAACAGTAGTTTACTCTGAACCTCTGCAATTTTACAACTGTTGGTTTTGGCAATGATACTACTCTCCTCTCTCTCAATTACTCAACGTGGTATCACCTTGAATTCCTTTTCTCCCATATCCATGTGTCTGCGAAAGGCTGTGGCTCCAGAGATGCTGACTCTGTAGTGCTGACTGTCACCCACCTCTGTGCCACTCCCTGCAACAATGTGCTTTTCCTAAGGTCCCCCACCTTCCCCTCGTTCAACATGTTGCCTGCTGCTGCCAGAGCTCTCTTCCTCACAAACCTTCTAATGACTATGTCACGCCTTGGCTTGAAAGCCTCAGTCTCTGGGACCATGAGATGAAGGCATTCAGGGCCTCTCAATGCCTCTGACCCAGTCTTCTCCCCTCCTCCTGGCACTCACCAAGCCCCGGGCAACAAGAAGAACAGTGGTCTGGTCTTTTGTGTCCCCTCCACATACACCCGGCCCCGCCCTGCCCCACCCTGCCCGTCTTTGTCCTGTCACCCTGTCTGTCTTTCAGAGCCCACTTCATACTCCACCTCCCATAGGATCATCAGGCCTGCTCCAGAAACCTGGACTGCGCTCCCAGTCCTGCTCCCCAGCACTCAGCCCCTGTCTGTGCATCCTGGCACAGCTCATGCGGCTCCTGGGTTTTGTAGTAGATCCCCTTCTCCCTCCCTCCACTGCATCCAGCAGCCTCTTGTGTATTCTGAGTATTCAACGGATGTTTATCAACTTCAACTGAAATCACTTAAGTCCGAATACATTTCCTGCTCTTTGGTTTAAGTGCTGAATCCTTTCCATGAAGGACATCTGAATAAGTAATAGAAAGGATGGCACAAGATCTTCGATCTTTGTGGGCATAGCTCCCATATATCGGGAGGATTCTTCCATTTCAGTTCAATCCACGGTCACGGTCACTAGCCAGGGACAGGGAGCTTCTCATCTGGGAGAGAAAGCTCTTTCCCAGGCAGCTCAAATGATTCAGTGGACATTCTTGTGCCAGCCTGCAATCCTCCCCCACGGCACGCCTGCCACCTGCAGGTGGGCAGCATGAAAACAATTCCCTCAGTGAGATGGCTTTCTAAATGCTGCAGTCAACTGTTCTGGCCTCTAAGTTCTGTGGCTGGCCCTTTCAACCTTTCCAGGGAATCCCCCATGTCTACCTCAGGCACCAGTCTTCTCACCCTGTCCTTGGGGCCATGCTCTGCCTGGGGTCCTCCTGCCTGCCAAGACTCCCCTTGATGGAAGCCACATGGAGCATAAGGCTCCCAACAAGCCTGATGTGGGGCTTCACATAGAAGGAGTAATTATCTTCTAATTTAGTAGTATCCCAAACTTGATTGTGTCCAAGTAAGAGTAAATTCACTTTATCAGCCACAGATCACAGTATATTAATATTTGGCCAGAAGTATAAAACCCTCCATTCAGTAAATAAAGTAATACTATAACAGATCCTCCCCAACCTATATGCATTGACATTTTTACAAATAGAACAACGAAACAAAGAAGCAGACAAACCCTAAATGCAAGGCTTCGTGGGCAGCCCGTTATATTTCACTGCTAACTGTTGCCTTCAACTGGCTGGCTGATGCTCAGTTTGTCTTCACCCCCAGATCCTGTTAGGTACAGATTTTTCAAGTCTGACCCCATATCCAGCAGGAACCAAAACAAAGACTACTGGTGTCTCCCTGGACCTCGCAAGGGGCACCATCAGGGAGAAAGGTCTCCTAGGGGAAACGGTTTGCTCTAGTTTGCTTTGCATAAACTCTCTAATCAGGTCAGCTAGTCTGCAGACAGGAATTAAAGCCATGCTAGCTCCATAAATGCAGTGATTTAATTACAGAATAACAGGCCTGACTTTCTACGCAATAATGCTTAGATCCCCAGTGAATATGGTGAGCAAAGAACAAACAGATTATCAATATCCCGAGGAAATAGTTCAAGTGTTTGGACTCTGGTTTTAGGGTATGTAGAACTCAGCCTCTCTTCAGAACATGCTGAACAGATTCAGAACAGATTCACCCAGGGCTCATCAGGCATGCAGACAGAACCACTCAGTGCATGGCAAGCCCATGCATAGAGGAAACGGTAAGAGGGAAACTGCCAGGTAAAATGGCTCCTGGATCTTGTGCAGAAGAATGGAAAACACTAAACTTTTATGAAAATTGAGTCCACTGTTAAAATTATCTAAAACTTCTTAAAATTCACGGAAACATCACAACTTGAGCAATATAAGAACAAATTTTGAGAGTGCTTCTCTTTCCTGTCTTCACTCTATCTTATCATCTTCAGTACTCTAGAACAAGGTCAAGTGCTGTGTTAAACTTAAAAACACAAATTAGTTTCAGTGTGTTTACAAATAAATTCAAACTTTTAAATAAATAAATAAACTGGGTTTATTTTAATTCTTCATCTTTTGGGGGGGTAATCCTCAAAATGCTTCTGGCTCACAAGAGAATCTTAGCAATAATCCGCAGGGGGAAAATTACCTCACACTCTTCAATTACCCACATGTTAATAAATACCCAGAGAGCACGGTCCATCAATGAAAATATCCCCAAACAGTCTCACTTTAGGGTTAACCCTTCTGGAATTCCTGTGCTTTGATCTAGAAGCTTTTGGGAAAGCAGCTCCCATGTTTTAAGGCACAAAGAGCTGCCCAGACATCTTCCAGAGCAACCCATGGTTCGAGTATCACTGTGTGATTTCAGATATGAGGGTCTAAGTAATATCTAAATACACCCCCTGCTCTGGTTCTGGGATGGCACGTAGGGCACTGAGCTGTAACCCAGCCCAAAGCATCATCGATGTTGGTCCAAGCACATGGCAGCATGCATGGTGGTTCCACTCACCCCCTCAGAAGTTTGAAGAGCATGCAGCCCAGGGAGAACCAATCGGCACTGCTGTCATAGGCTGTCCCCTTCTGCAGCACCTCGGGAGCCATGTACCCATGGGTGCCCCTGCAGAGAAGACAGGACACATGGTCGTCAGAGCACACTCACCGTGGGACAATGCAGCAACAGCTGAAAGGGAGGTGCAGATGCTGGAGAGAGCAGTGACCATGTACCAAGGGGAGGGCACTCCTGCTGCCATACACACTATGCACCATGCATCCAATCTTCTGCACATTTGTGTGCGAATTCACACAAACGACTTAACCCAGCACATACATGTACAGATGGAAGCACCTGAGCCTAGGAGGTGAGTGCTGAATCTCAAAGTTCCTTAATCCCTTTTGGCCCACCACAAAGGGCTAAAGGTCTCCTACCTTTTCAGAGGCCCTGGCACAGGATACCTGGGGTCCAGGAAGGGAAGTAGAGGCAGCGGGCAGGGGGCTGTGGTGCAGTGCTGTGCGCCTGAGGGCAGGAAGACATCCATTCCTTGCCACGCCACCTCTGCTGTGAGGATCTCATGTGTGCCAACAGTAGGGCTGCTTCTTTGGTCCTGAGTCAAAAAAGGCCCAGGGGACTGGGGTGGGGTGGGGAGCAGAAGCCCCAAGGACATGAGGTAGAGATGCCATATCAGGCTTTAACCCTCGCTCAAAGTCCAAGGACTCAGCACTAAGCACACATGAAGATGATTAGCAGGGTGCTGAGAAATCTCTTGGGAGGATATCCACGTTTATATGGTCCTCTCTGTCTACACCAGGTTGCTAAGAGCTGAGCACACACACTGCCCCATCATGAGAGGCCAGAGGAGCTCTGAGGGGCTCTCCAAGATACAGTCCAGAACTTTGGAAACTTTGGAAAAGTCCCTTCTCTGTATGCTACAACCTCTCCAGCCCTCACTAATTGTTCTCATCAACAGAATGGGTAGTAAGATGATACCTCTACCTCTCAGGGGTGCTGTGAAGATACAGCACAGGCTGAGAATGGTGCTGGAATATAAGAGTTCAGCCCATGTTTGGGATTTAATCTCTTCTCTTACCTTGGTATAATCATTTGTAACATACTTATGCTCAGGCACAGCTAAAGATCAGCTCAAAAACTCTCTTAGGATCCCAGATCTTCACGGAGCCCAGGAGCCCCTGTCTTAGAGGGATGTTTTGAAAGAGCTTTAGTAAAAGGTAGCAATGGGCTTTGGGCCATGAAGGAAAGTTCTTGGAAAGTTCCAGGGCAAGATCACTGAGGCATGTAAAGTGTATCAGGGATCTTTACAAGGGCATCCAAACCCTTTTCTGGGAAGGTTTTATTTTCACCGTTGCTTGGAAAAGCCCTTTGTGGTGACCTCTTAGCTGATAATTCTCAGAATCAAATAACAACTCTGGAATAGAAAGACATCTAGAAGAATAAATACAACAGCTATTGCAGATCAACTTTAAGTGTACAATGGATGCAATTAAAGCAAAATACCGGATTGCCTGCACTGTGGCTTTCTGATTCTGCCTAACAGCAGCTACTAATGCTTTGTGGCATTTTGCTAAAGTTTTGGATTACTATTAATACTGAAGAACACTTGAATGTTTAAGACACTGTGACATGAGACACAGCTTTATGCTCCTACATAACGTAAGCTAGGAATCAAATTAGTCATTGACAATCTGTCCAACTCCAAAACTTTTCCTTTAAATTCCTGTGGCTAATGGCCAGGCATGGTGGCACACGCCTGTAATCCCAGCACTCAGGAAGCTGAGGCAGGAGGACTGCCATGAGTTTGAGGCCAGCCTGAACTACACAGCAAGATCCTGTTTCAAAAATAAAAAAAATTTGGCTGGGGCATTTAGCTCAATGGTTCCACCACCTTCCTCGCGAGCGCAAGGACCAGCGTTCAATCCCCAGTACCGCTCCCCCAAATTTCCTAAATGGTATAATTGAGAGGGTGAAACAGGAAGAAAATGGCTAAAGGGGAAGTGGGAAGGGGAGGGGAAAGGACATAAGGGAAAAGAAAAAAATGTGAAAAAATGGAAACAAAGTCTTTGTAAATAGAAAAGTGTGAAGGGGGTGAAGGGAGGGCAGAGAATAGGGAAAAAACAAATCCAAGATCTTTCATGTAAAGGCACAAGATCCCAATGATAAATGTAACTATACTGCTTGCTTTAAATGTACCAATAAACAATGGCAAAATAAAATAAAAACTCTTGTGGCTATTCCACAGTTGAATGAATCAAATCAAGTTTATAATAATTTGTGACTCTGGCACTCCGTGGACCAAGTCTAAACTGAGATCAGGAACTTCAACCACAACCCTAACCAGCACATGGAACGCCCAGCAGACGAAGTCTGAGGGTCACAGCTAGAGCCTTGAACAGACCTGAGAAATCAAATGCAGAGAGAAGTTCTGGACAAAAACCTGTCAGCCAGCACCAGTACTGTAAATGACTTCAAAGCCTCAGGGCGTTCACCCATAAAATGTAAAGAGCATGGGCTTTGGCATCTGACAGAGGTAGCTCACAATATGGACAAATGATGTTGGTCAACGGACTTAATTTCTCAGGACTCAATTTGCATACCACAAAAAGTTGGTAACAATACCCATGATTTTTGGGGTTTCCATGAAGATATATTCAGAGCAGCTGACATCGAACTGATAACCCAGCCAATGCTTCTAGTTTCACTGCCTCCCTTCATGCTGGTCACTTAACAAACAAAGTTCTGTGGGCTTTTGGTTCCAGGCCAGTTAGTTCAGTCTTACTGCTGCACCTGGCACAGAGTGAGTGTGAAATAAATACTTAATGAATTACTTATTGGCTTTCTCGCTTTGCACCACCCCAGGAGGGAGATGCCATGGAGCTCTCCTCTTTATAGAAGAGAGAAATGAGGTTCAGACAACCTGGAAAAGAGACTCAAACCCAGAACTAGTGGTTCTGAAGCCTTTGTTCTTAGTTACAAAGAGCCTCCTTCTTTTAAAGATGTAGCATGTCAGGTGCTGGTGTGTGGTGGCACACATCTGTAATCCCAGCACTCTGGGAGGCTGAGGCAGGAAGATCAAAAAATTCAAACTCTGCTGGGCGTGGTGGCGCATGCCTGTAATCCCAGCACTCAGGAGTCTGAGGCAAGAGGATCACTGTGAGTTCGAGACCAGCCTGGGCTATTTAGTGAGTTCCAGGTCAGTCTCAACTACATAGTGAGACCCTGTCTCAAAAAAAAAAAAAAAGCTCTGCCTGAGCAGTTTGGCAAGATCCTGTCCCAAAATAAAAAAGGGGGGGGGCTGAGGATGAGACTTACTGAGAAAGTCCTGGGTTCAAAACTAGATTAGCATTTCATTGTGCATTTAGCTTTTTAAAGCATTGCCACCACTCTTATCAATTAACATGCACACCAACCTTCTTGGTCCACCCCTTTCACAGATGCTATTCAAACACTGAGCTTCCCAAGGTGGCAGAAGAGCCAACCTCTCAGAGCTGATACGAAGTTGAGCAAAAAGTAGGCTGGGCTGTAAAAGGAAATAATCCCATGTCCGAAAGTTAATTCTGTTGGAAGATTAACTCTTATGAACTCTTGGGTTCATGGTGATGATTCCAGTACATTGAAGATATTAACATACCAAATAGCTGTGGCATTAAAAATTCAAATGACTCTTAAAAACATCTGCAGAACACCCTGGGAGAAGCTTCTACAACCAGGGGCTCTAGCCTAATAATAAGAAAAATGCTAGCAAAATGCTAATGCTTTTACTGCCATATCCCAGAGTCTGTAGGAAAAAAGTATGTTTATAGAAATGCTGCTATTCCATATTAACATTTGATCAGAGTTTTAAAAGGCAATTTTGCTTGAATGCAGTTCCACACAAGGAACTACAATTCAGAACTACTTTAATTCTAGTTACACAAAGAGATGGTATGTAGTTTATTTTCTGCACGGATGCATGCGATGAGACCTCAGGGAGTTCCCTGAGACCATTCAATAGAGACTAATGTTCGATCAAGAGGGAAAACAGAACGTAATTTTAAAGGATGCAGTGCTAACAATGTGACATTTAAAAACACAAAGCACAATTTGTGTGCTTTACCACAAATTGTATACATGTTCACTTTCCACCCAGGTGAACTGATATCAAAGAAACAAATGAATACCAGGGCAGACTCCATTCTGTGCTCGTAGAGCCAGTGAGAGCTATCTGAACCAGTAGAGACCAAACAAGGCCACTGCCAGGAGCAGGCCAGTGTCCCTGAGGCACAGGAGCTGGCCCCAGGCTTCGGACCAGCAGTCACCTCCACGTGTTAACTTGGAGGCCTGGTGAGATACCTGAATCCGACAACATGATCCACATTAAAAGCCTGAACTGCAGGTAGATGATTAGCTTCTTCAGTTTAGGAAGGAAAATGTCCTGATTTCTCTTTGGGGGAAAAAAAGCATTTTTTAAAAAAGAAGATAAAAGCAGACAGAGAGGGAAACTTGGCTCTTGGACCCTGCCTTGGGGAGTTCTACACAGCTGCCTGTACCACTCTTTTGGCACTTGGGTTCTTGCATTTATCCTTAGGATAACGTAAAGGAATTTATTATTATTATCGCTACTCTGCAGAAGATACGGAGGTCAAAGAGGTCAGCTGTCTTGCTTAGGTTCACACAGACAGCACGAATCTAGCTCCACCCGAGGCCTGAACACTCCCCACAGACAGGGCCGATGCACCTTTCAGAGTTCCCAGTGACACCGCCTGCTGAGGCACACGTGCAATAAGCCTGCCACCACCACCACAGACTCTCACGAACAGGTTAGCTCCAGTGTGGAGCAATTCACGCCCTGAAGCAACTCACTTTTACATCCACCCCACATCTGCAAATACGGGTCTTCCTCTGACTAGGCAGTGTCACCCAGTCCCACCAGTGGGTACTGAAAACCACAGGTGGCAAGAGAAAGGGGGTGGGAGACAATGGCCAAGCTAGCATCTGATGGGACAAATGAACTGTGACAGGGGAAGGGCAGCCAGCACAGTGGATGTGCCACTTACACGCTTGCATGCGGCTTCTTTTTGGAAAAATCACAGGCCAGGCCGAGATCGGAGATCCTGACATGCCCGTGCTCATCCAGGAGGATATTTGCAGGCTAAATGGAAACAGAAGACGCTTATCAAAAGTCGCAACAGGCCATGGGGTTTGGAGACCTTCTAAGAGCATGCACATTCGCTGATACATCACTGTGTCATAGTCTGCTCCTAACCATGCACTTACAGCTGTGCTCCCATCGGAAGCAGGGCAGGGCACAGAGAACAACACTGCTCAGGTTAATTTCAACAAAGAAGAGGCAGTGAAAGAGGTGAAAGACTTTACTCCTTAACAAAAGTGACACACGGGCAGTTAACCTGGGCAGCTTCTGACCACAGTTCATCAGAGTGAACAGCAAACAAATGCTTGACTCCACATGAGGAGCCATGGTGTAGCCAGGTCAGCCACCTCCTGGTGACAGGGAGCAGGGCCAACTTCCACAGGGCTTAGGTGAATAAGACTTTAGAGGACGAAGCTGCAGAGCACAGGACAGAAAGGAACCTTGCCAGAGCATAACAGATGCTAACCTAAGAAGTCAGACTGTTCCACGCTGCCACTCTAGCCCTGACAAATGTTGTATCTGTTTATTGATACATCGTCAAGCAAGGGCCCTACCAAATGACCTAGGACGACTCTCACCACCACTGTGATGAAATGTATCAAGATCAGATTCAGTGTAATCGTGGAAAACAAAGCTCCTCTCCTTAATGCACACTGAATTACTGTCATCTTAATAATGTTTTTCTACTGGAGATCAACTACTGTTTTGCTTAAAATAAAAATAATGACATTGCTCCTATAAAATTGAAGCATGAGTAATCATAACTGACTAGAATTCACTTTGAATAGCAATTAAATAGTAGCACTGCCAACTAAATAGCTTAGAAAACAAAAATATGGCACAGAGATGATTAGAAAACGGTTATAGGTTTAAATTAAAATGTCTGAGAATAGCACTTCAAGAACATGCAGCAGCAATTTTCTGTAAAACCCACATGAGGAAATAAAATGTCATGAGCCAACTGACATCTAATTATGTCTAATTCAATAAAAATACTATTTTTCATTACTTATGTATACATGAAAACTAAAGGAAAGACTTGCAGAAAGCTTTAAAATTCACAAGATATTTCTTGAAAAGAAAGTTCAAGAAATACACTTAAAACATTTTATATCGGTAAGTTCTGGATTCCTTAGAAGAAGGAATGTAACCTGTATATTTCAGTTGGTCATTGTGGATTTGAGTCCCAAGAACTTCAAGTAGGACGCAGATATTTCCAACCATTCTCATTTTTCTGGCAGACTTACTCCTCTGAATTTTCTTCTCACTGTCATTACGCATTAACATCTCTGTACAGACCTGTCCATATTTTGTTCGGGTTCCTTTTCTTGCCATCCCTGTCTTCAGCTGCAGAGCATCACCATGGACACAGTGGATGAGTCCCAGACCCCCTCCTCCATGGACAAGCAAGACTAAGCACAGGGTTTGGAATGGGAGAGCCTGAAAGAGGACTGAGTCCTGGGACAAGAGCAGAGACCCAAGCACAGCATTAGGGCTTGTGCAGTCGGGAATCTGAAAGTCCCCTGGCGGTTTTTAAAGCAATCTCAGCACAATGGGAAACGGTAAGCATGGTCTTTGCATAAATTCTGCAGGCTGATCAGAAATTCACCCACCCTGACCAGCTTGGCCTCAGAGGAGCCAGGACTCTGCTGCTCTAAGTATTGCTTTGCCAGCTTCTACGTCTCAAACAAACAACAAACAACCCCTCACCCCAAAAATACAACCTCCCAGTGGTATCTCAGTTCATGAATTTAATGAATTCCATGATTCTGGAAAAGATGGCCACATTTGTGTTCTTCTGAGAAAGATGGCCATGGTTGTTTGTCACTTGATGCAGAGTTCACAAACAAACAAAATTTTGCCAAATGCTTTTGTGTGTGAATTAAACTGTTTGCAGAAAAAGCATTCATGAACCAAGGTACCACCGTATGTTCTCTGCCTGTTCAAATTAGTATATCTCCATCTCTGACAAACAGCCACAGCCAAACCAGTTGTTTAGTGAAGATTAACTGAAGTACAAGTAATTATAACAGGAGCAACACCAAAAATATTCCTACCCCACTTCTTCTTACTAATTATTACTTTTCTAATTGGCCTAAGTGCTATCTGGACACCAGAGCAGGGGCTGAGATGACCACACAATGAGAGTGGCTATGAGTTCTGTCCCTGGGGAGCCTGAGTCAAAGAGACAGACAAAACACAGAGAATGACTGTGTCAGGGCCAGGATGGAACTATGAGGGAAGGGACAGCACAGAGAGAGGAAGGGAGGCCTTGGAGGGCATCAGGACAGCATCCGGGCCCACCGTGCAGAACCAGCAAACCTTCTGTCCTCACCTTCAAGTCTCGATAGACCACAAATCGGGTATGCATGTGCTCTAGCCCAAGAATGATTTCTGTGGCGTAAAACCTCATCTCCTTCTCAGAAAATACTCCGTGCTGGGAGAGGTGATAGTGCAAGTCACCACCTAGAAGCAAGAGCAGAAGTTAATTCACAGTGTGTTGTCTGAAGGGAACAAAAATCACTGTCATCCTGAGTAGTAAGGATACAAGTAGAGAAAGCAGATGCTACTCTGCCTTCTGTAGTTTGGTAAAAACTTAAAACATTACAGAGAAGAAGTGATCTTCAGAAGACTTAAATGCAATGATGGGTGGCACGAGGCAGCACAGCGAAGCCATGGTTGTGCTTGGGTTGGCAGCTCGGCCACCACTGCTCTATCAAAGGCAGGACTAGCTAACCTACTTCCATTACTTACATCCGTTTGTTAAATGAATCGACCCCTGCAAGGTTCCAAGGCAGTTTAGTTATTGCCCCCTCAGACAGACAAAACAATTAAAGAACATTTGATAAAGCAAGCAAATACAGTAAAATTTACACAGGTAAAACCCAGATGTGGGTGTCTGAGTGTTCCCAGGAAAATTCTTTCCACTTTTCCATATGTTTGAAATTTTCCATAAAACAATATTGGAAAAAGGAAATAATCATGTGGACTCAAGTTACAGGGACCAATACTGTCAACAACAGGCTTGCAAGAGAATATTTTTATAAGCCACAGGGAAAAGTCTCTTGATTTACAGAATTGATGCATCTTCCACTGTAGATACAGCACTCCCCCACTACATACTGGTGCACATCTGTCCTCATTCAAGATTGAACCTGCAGTATCCTGAAAGCTCTCTGGGCCCTCTCCAGCCACAGCATAGGTCCCTCTGCCCTGTCCAGTCCTTAGCAAAAACAAGCAATGACTGAAAAATATGAAGAATGTTTCAATTTCAAAAAAGTTTATCATATTTAAAGACACATTGTTTTTAGTCTCCCTCAAAATACTACCCCCTACTTCAAACACACTTTTATTTCTTGCCATTTCTAAAGTAGTTCTGGGTATTTTTTTTGGAGTATCTTCAGTTGAGTTGTTGTGACTACCTCAAAGTCCTGAATAGATTCAAAGCATTTTTCTTTCATGATCATTTTGACTTTGGGGTAAGACTCAGAAATCAAATGGAGCCAGATCTGGTGAATAAGGTGAATGAAGACACATCATAATGTTTCTGAGCCTGCTTTTCCACGGGATTTAGCAGTGTTGCTCAGTGAATTTTAGCTTACATCTCACAAAGACGCATGAAGAAAGACTTGTACACCTACTTTATAAAGTGGCCATGGGCTAAGTTGTTTTGTTTTTTTGTTTTTGTGTTTTTTTTGAGACAGGATCTCACTATGTAGTACAAGCTGGCCCTGAACTCACTATGTAGCCTAGGATGGCCTCAAACCCACAGCGATGCTCCTGCCTCAGCCTCCCCAGTACTGGATTATAGATGTGTACTGCCATATCCGGCTGAGTGTGTTTAAAGTGAGGGAAGTGTTTTGAGGGGGATGAATGACAATGTATCTTTTACTATAATAAATTGTATTTAAACATTCTCCATGTATTTTGAGTATGAATGATCTGTGCTGGTGTCTGGATGATGATGATTTGGCTCATGATTATGCCTGTGAAATTCCTTCCTGTTTTTAGAGATATCTTATTTTAAATCAAACACTCAAAGCTTCGAGTGAACTTAAAAAAATAAAGTAGGCATCTATATGGCTGAACTGTCTACCTCTTAATGTCAGGCCTTGTTACTAAAAATCCTTTGAATATACATCGTGTCACCTTCTTATGTTGTGAAGCAACTTTTCCAGTTGGACATTTTGGCTCAATCTTGGCCACTGCTCACAGTTAGAAAGATAAGTGCAGGATTCTGTGGATTCAGAAGGCATAGAGCAATAAAATCTGTACTGGTCCCAAGTCAGCCCTTCAAAGTTGGTTTTTAAACACATCTTTGGCCTACGTTCTTGGGAGGTATTTCATTCCTAAGAGTTGAGAGCCAGGAAATAAGCTAATTAAAGACCTAGACCAGCTGCATTACAGAAAATCAAATTTCACTGGCAGTATTTTATAAGAATATTTTCTGGAAAATCCAACTTACTAGGGAGAGCCTGGGAGGCCCGGAGGGAAATCACAGTCAATGCTGTAAAAGGAATTTTGTCTGAAAACTAAAGGGCAAATGCTGGGGAGGGAGAGAGCCTGATCACCAGACAGGATCTGAACACCAATGCTCACCACCCAGGTAGAACCTTACATAGAGCCTTTCAGGGGACAGACTTTAGGTTTGCTTACCGTTCATCAGGTCAAGAATGAAGCAGAGTTTATCTGGAGTGTGAAAAGCATAGGTCATACAGACGATGAAAGGACAATCCTGCAGGGGAGGAACAGAAGCTGATAAGCAGAGCAACGGTTGCCCTGGAGAGCATGTGTGTCACCAGACATCACCCTGTGGATATGGCCTGGCCACCACTTGCTTACTATGCATGGTCACCTCAGAGGTCACAGTGAGGCAGGCCTGGTAAGGATGAGTGGGGCAGATGAACACGAAGGCTCTCACCTGCATTCAATTTCAAAAGACTAGATGGTAGGGAAACATCTCATCTCACTAATCTTTTCATTGGTTAGCATTCTGATTTTGCCTAGTCAAATATCCACTTCCATCTCTGCTTCTGAAGTTGAAATTACTGTATTAGAGTCCACTACGGGAGGGAAGAATATCTGTTATTTCTATGAAACACTGAGAATAAAAAAGCTTTTAAAACTGGAAAAATAGACGATGGGCAGGGGTTGAATAACTTAATTATAGGCAGACCTGAATATTTCCCTAATTAATCTACAGAAGCCATGAGACCTTCATTAAAATGAACATTTACAAGCTGATTCTAATATTTATGGAACTGTAAATAGCTAAGAAAGTTCAGATACATGTGAAGAAAAACAAAGCCGGAAAACTTAAGAGTAGCAGATATCAAGCCTTATTATGAGTCAGTAGTAATTCAGCCCAAGGACAGACAAGTGTACAAATGGAACAGCACAGAGAGTCCCGAAGTGGACCCAGCCCAATTTGGAACTTGAGTTGGGATAAGGTGACACAATGGAGCAGGGGAAAGGATGGTTTTCACATAGTATACAGCCTATCAACTAAGAATGGTTTAATTTAATTTGCACTGTTAAAACCTCTTCAGTAGGGGCAGATAATTTGGAGTTAATACATTTCTATATAACAAAGATAAACTCAGAGCTCAATTTCCCTAAATCTTCTAGAGAAATTTACTCCAATTAATCATAAAATTCATTTTGTGTTTACACCTAGTTTTCCTTAACGTTCTCTTAAGATAGGGTTAGTATTTACTGATTTCAAGATTTATTTTGCCTAAAATACAGATGATAGAAAAAAAAAGTTACTGTAATCTAGTATGAACAAAATTATCTAAAACTGTACCTTGATTTAGTATAATTGTCTTATTTTTTTTTTTGGCCGTTTAGTCTGGCTGTTAATCTGTATGTATGACAATTAACTTTATAAGGACTTATAAGATAGATAAATGAATCTGATGCTGGCAAAAAGGGGGAGTCGAGAAGGGGAAGAAGAGACTGTGTTGTGTACATGTACCCACTCCCCACAATGGATTACGCAGTCATCATGTACTACAATCATGTACTAAAAATAAAAAATGAAAACAAGATTCATTTTTGTCTAAGAAGAGCAAATGTAGTGCTGTGTTTCTGGTAAGAGTCCCAGGGCCTTTCCGGTGGTCCGTCCTGTCCGGTGTCCCCCCAGCCCCCGCGCCACCCAGCGCTCTCTGGCAGTCTGTGAACATGCTGATCATGGCTCTTCCTTAATGGGGCTTCCCATAGCTCTTGCTCCTGATCTGATAAGCCATTCATGTGTACAGCCCAGAACTCAGTAAAACAAAGATCTTTCCCAGCCTGAGCTGGCAACTGCATCCACACCACCAGGGGACAGAGAAATCCTTCCTAGGGGATTTCTGAACATAACTGTACATGTTGAGACAGCAAAAGGTCAAAGTCTGCTTAAAATACCATGTTGCTATGATGGGACATAAATTTTAGACTTAGAAATCATAGACTACCCAAACAGTAAGGGCTCTTTACAGCAAAAAATCACGATGTCTTCCTTTTAAAGACAAGGAAAATTAGGGTTCCCGCAAAAGGAAAGAACTTGCTTGAGATCACGAAAAGTTAGTAGCCAGTAAGATGCAAATGCCACACCTCCTCACCCTCTCCAGAGTTCTCCTTACAAGGCAAGTTTCCCCAGCAATGGGTAAAGTCTATCTCTTTGGCCCATAGCTAGCCATGCTTTGCAGAGGCCTCTTTTTGAGCCCACTTCAATCTTGACCTCTTAACACTTGAACAAACATGGGCACAGTTTCACAAAGCTCTAGGCTGTACCCTGAGGATGATCCTTGCCCTCAGTAACATGCCTGCTTGAGAACACTCACCACACCTTCAGACAGGGCCCTGGCTCTCCAGCCTCTGTGTGAGGGGAGGAGCCCAATTTCAACCAGCACCAGGGGCATCCCCAGTGAGTCTCACGTGGACAGGCCCCCTCCTCCTTTCTTCTTTCCTGGCTCTGCATGAGCCCCCATCGTCTACCTGCTCCCTACTCTCCAGAGGAAGCACCCTAGCCCTCCTCATATTGTGCGAATGGGGCTCTGCTGCTTCCCCTACAGTCTCTAGCTACAGAATAAAACCTGTTCCCATTACTGTAACGAAAGACCCACCGTATTTCTCAATGACATGGTAAAGTAAAAATGCAGTGAGGGAGGAAGAACAGGGACCTCTACTGCACCAATGGCCTGCTCTTCCCTTCTCTTTAGGTGCTGGGCAGGCACTGTTATGAGAGAACCCAACACTGACCAGCACGAAAACACAGCCTGTGGTTAATAAAAGCTAAAGCAGACATGGTCAGGACGACCTGCCCGATTGTGGGTCAGAGTGAGCACATGCCCATGGGTCTGTAGAGCAAGCAGACTCTTAAGTGCAAAGTTCCTCCCTGAACTCCCACCCAGAGTGAACAAGAGCCTGGCCCCGCAGGAGGTACACCTGCACCCTGGAAGATGCTTCCCAAGCCCCAGCAATCTTTCACAGTGCTTGTCACTTGTCCCAACTGGCTGCACATTCCCAAGCTATCTGGACATCACCTTGTCCCCTTCTGGGCAGCTGAATGAGGGGCTGGGATCTGAGCACATGGAGGTACTTGCACCCTCCAGTCACTCACTGTGGTTCTGAGAGGACTGAGCAGGACAGCCCATGAGGCCACATGACTTCGTTTGTGAACTTGCCGAGTGCTCTTTCCAGCTATGGACATACTTCCTGGTTCTCAAACACACATTTTCCTTTCTACTCTCCAAGTGTAGCAGAAGAAAGCAGTATAGTGATTGCTACTAGCTCATGGTGGGGCGGGAAGACTGGAGGCTGATGGGAGTGATCACGGAGAGCAAAGGCAAATTTCAAGCAAAAGAAATCACCAGGAGTGAATGCAGTGCCTCTCACTGCCCCAAACTCCACAGTCCAGGCTCTCCCAGAGCTTTGCCTCTGCTCAATTTAAACTAAGCATCATTAAAAATCTACCCAAAGTGGCCTTTGATTAGCAAGTAATTTCATTGTAACTCTTTAAATTCCATAAATAAAAATGTTCAAACAGCATATGGTTCAATGTTTGAGTAAAAATAGAACTAATTCTTTTAAATTAGTTCTAAGTAGTTGTTCAACATAACCTCATTTTAAAATGTTCTCTAAGGTCAGACCAGTAAAAATCATACAGCTGCTTAATTATATTCTCCTTCATCTGAATAAAATAAATAAAATGTTACACAAAAACTATCCCTTGTTTTTCCCATATCAAAACATTTTTTGCATAGGCTTTCTTACCCAAGGCTTGGGATAACTCATTAAAAATTAACACTGTAATAACTACTTAAAGTCACATCACTCCCATTTCTATCAGGTACAAACCTGGTCACACACCAACACACACGTACAGAATGGCTCCTGTTTGAAAGGCTTAATATCCATACATTGGGAGGCAGAAGCACATAATTAGAAATTATTTATAGCCAAAGCATTTTCACTTGTTACAGTTCTGCTAGATTATTCTGTTCTATGGCTCTGATAGAAAACAGCCCTTCCAAAAGCACTTAAAATGAAGGCCAAAAAAAAAAAAAATACTATCTGTGACACAATAAGCACAGGTGATAAACCCAAGGAGCTTGGCCCTCAAAGTACTGGCAAGAAGGGAGCCCCAGCCAGGGCATCCAGTGTCTGCAGGCAAACTGACCACTGTGGGCTGAAAGTTTCTTGCTTCTTAGTTGAAGAAGATTCTCAGATTGGCCAATAAAGTCTGATGCTTTTGCACCATTTGGTGAAGATGACTTCACACAGAATCTAGCAGTAGGGTTTAGGCCATCCCTGTCTCTTTGGGTATAAACTCGGCTGGTGTGAGTATTCAATATGAAATTCTTTCAGCTCCCAAAGACACACACAAATTGAGAAGTCAGAATGGGCAGCTGCTCTGTAAGCACAAACGACCCACGGTAAGTGTTTGTTTCTACCAGCCCTGGTAGAGGTTAACACATACACAAAATGCCCATCTGGTAGAAACGCAGTGCTGGGAATGGAAATGACCAGTGTATTGCAGGACCAAGCATCAAGTGCAGAAGGCAAAAGAAAGCCACATCCAATGGAAACACCAAGGAGGGCCAACTTCAACAGGACCATTTAGATTCCGCCAATCTAAGCCACGCCCTCTCCATTTGCTCATCAAAAGCAAGAGCTACTTCCCTTGTTTCTTCTCAGAATCAGCCCTGCTCCATCATGTAATCATGTTTGGTTTTTTTTTAGCATGTTAAAGTAATTTATTTTTCTTTCATGATTATTTTTTACCACTGCAGCTATACAGAGCTACTCTACTCTTCAGAGAAGGAAGTCAGGGCCAAGTCAAAAGGCCCTGGCAGAGGTCATGGTGTGCAGTGAAAGTAGCTGCACTCTGACTCTGCTAACTTCTGATTTCAAGTACAAGGAGATATCAAATCCCATCCCACCTATGAATTGGCCGCCCCCATAATTAGAAGGGATAAATAAATCACCTGCTATAAAGTAGACAAATACATTCTAAAAGCAAAGCTGGAAACTGGATACTTACTCCTGTACTGACAAGAGATAACATAATCCTTTCATTTAAAGCTAATGTTTCTCCTTGCTTCATCTTGATCCTCTTCTTATCCAAGCATTTCATTGCATACCTACAAGCATAAAGATTATGGAAAAATCTATACTTAAATACATCTGGACAGATTTAAACAATATATATCACACTGCTAAGAGTTCCTAGAAATTTAGGCAATTTTAAAAGAAAAAAAATAGAGCCAGATCTGGTATACACGCCTATAATCCCAGCATTCTGGGAGGCTAAGGCAGGAGGATCTTGAGTTTGAGCCCAGCCTAGCAACTTAATGAGATCCTGGCTTAAACTAAAAAATTTAAAATGGGCCAGAGATGTAGCTCAGTGCGAAGGCACTGGGTTCAACCCCTAGTATGCCAAAAAACAAACAAAACACAACATGCCACCCAAACACCACATAAGAAATACAAATTATTATGTATTATGAGAAAAAATAGTATTTAAGATATTCTATCATTACATGTAGATAAATATAAATAAATTTGCTGAAATATTTTGTTTATTGTTCCTGCCTACTGGGACTTTGGACCTACGTATCATATTTAGAAGACTGTAATTGTGAATTCACTAGCAGTCAAGTTTTGATAAAAGTGTACAAAGTATAAGATGCTAAACTAGTAAGTTTTGGGGCCTGGGATTTAGCTCTAAGTTTCCATAGCCTGCCTCACAAACACAGGTCCCTAATTTGATCCCTGGTACCAAAACAAACAAACAAAAAAAACACAAAAAAAGAACCGAAACATAAATGGATAAGTTTTTAATCTTGATATTTATTACATTTCAAATAATAAAAAATAAGATTTTCATATTATTGGTTATTTTCATTCATTGGTTAAAGTTAATTGAATAATAACTTTTTTTTTTTTTTTGGTACCAGAGTTCGAACTTGGGTCCTTGTGCTTTTGAGGCAGGTGCTGGAACCACTGAGCTAAATCCCCAGACCTTGGTTAAAGTTAATTGAAAAGACCAGCTGACAATTTAAGATTTTTCAAGAACTAGGAATAAATTCATATTAAGAAAACAAGAGACAAGTTCTCGCGCACATTCTAAAATCACAGGCAAAAGAAAAGAAAACAGGAAGCTTTTCAATTGGATACAATAAGCCAAAAAGGAATGTATGCAGTGTCTTTAGAGATTTTTCCAGGACCGATAACTATGTGTGCAAGCAGACATCCCTGTTGATCTACTTCATAAGCCCAGGCTGATGGAGCCTCGGAGGGGTGGAATACAGAAAAGCCACTTAACTTTTTATTAATCAAGCTTACCATGTTTGAATTACATAAAAACAGAGACAAATGTTTAACGTTGGTAATTTTATTCATTTTTCCAGGAATTCTTATAACAAATCAGTTGGCAAAGACATTCACGTGCTTAATTCTAAGATGAACTACTGAGAACATATAAAGTAACATGTTCTTTAAATACTTCCTTTTTATGATGAGAAAATTCAAAAAGGCTTCACACTTCCTCTAATATCACCCTCTACCAGGATGGTTTTCATAGCACAGCACACAGGACACCCAGGCCCTAGGCCACTGGCTGAGAAAGTCCACTCAAGGAAGCCATTAAGAGCCACAGCAGCTCTGAGGGTACGCGCGGCAACTCCCTGGTGCAGCGGGGGAGCAGAGCCAATGCAGAGGCCTACTTTTCAGCCTGCAGCCTGGCAAGAATGGAGTAGGATTCCTAGAAGGTTTTCTTTCTCTCCTCCTTCCCTTCCCTCTCCCCGCTGTTACCCTTCCTATTTGAACAAGTTCTTCCAACTTCCCAATATCTATCCTCCATTATGCTTCTTACTTACCCTTTGGGTTCCTCACAGAAAGAAACAATGTGATATTTACACTTGCATGTCTAATTTATTTCACTTAAGATTATGGTCTCAAAGAAAAAGAAAAAAAAAGAGAATGGAAAGAAAACGAAAAAAAAGAGAATGGAAAGAAAAAATGGGAACAAAGCTTTTGTAAATGGGAGAGAAAGAAGGGTTCAAGGGGGAGAAGGAGAAAGAGAAAAAAGAATTAAGATATATAATTTACAGGTACAAATTCCCAATGATGAATGTGATCGGTATGCATGACAAATATGTACTAACAAAAAAAGTTTAAAAAAAGGATCTCTAGGAGCGAGGTCATGCTAGTTAAACTTGACATCCTGACTGGATTAAGAGGTTCCTAGAGAAGTGACTAGATCATGGGGCGCTATACTGAGCAGTGCACTAATGGCCAACTGTGCTGTTGGGAGGTGGGGCCTAGTTGGAGACGTCACCGGGCCCTTTGGAGGGTGCGCATCTTGCTGGTGACTCTTCCCTGTGCTCTAATTCTCAGCCACTGTGCCCATTTTCCTTCACACAGAGATCATGAACTCAAACCATGAGGCAAATGCAACCTCTGCTACTCGAACTGTAAGGGCCACGTAGTCTGGCTCAGTAGTGGTAAAGCTGACCAATACATCAAGCCTGACCACTTCCCACTGTGTGATTCTTAATAACCACTTATACCTTATTTATATAACATAGAGAATTTACTGTTGTTGGCTAGACAGTATCTTGCTATGTTGCCCAGACTGGTCCTAGATCTAGGCTCTAATAATCCTCTGGCTTCAGCTTCCCAAACAGCACACATGCACCGTCATGCCTGGTCAAGATAGAGAATATGGACCTACATGCTGGGTGCTTTTGTGGGTTAGGTAAATAATTTTATATAAAGACATGAACTGGTATTATTTACTTCAACATCATATGACACACTAGATAGACTAAGTACTTCCATGAGCTGCAATGATGCAACAAAACTTAAGCTTGAATGAAGATACAGCAAGCAGTAAGTAAACTTTATTAATTAGGATCAAAAGTCCACTGAGTCAGGAGAGAATGGGGAAGAACTTCCAAGGCGGAGGCCAGGGTTGAAGAAGACCCTGCGTCTAAACTCACTCTGTGCACTGGCACTTACTACAGGAGAGAATGTTACCAAGTTTGGTCATTGTATTTAATTCTCTCAATAAGGTACTTTGATTTCCTTGCTTACAGACCAAGAGATGTAGAGGCACAGGTCACAAACTGCACCTGGAATAGAAAGTCAACCTGCTGTGGCTGGTATGACTCCAAGACCCTCGCCCTGGATGAAGACCACTCTGTCTTAGGACCCCAGGCTTCAACTTAGTGACAGGCCTCTGTTCACCTTAAACAGAGCCCCAAGGCAGTAACACAATTAGTGAAGGACAATTTCAGTCTCCAAACATTGGCAGCTACAGAACCTGCCTACTGTGTGGACTGTACAGGGAATGAATGTAGCTGAAGGCAGGCCCCAAATGAGGGCACCCCAAGGACTTCTTGATGATTCAATTGTCTTATAAACCACACTTCAAATACCACTCTATCTCGCCCACTGCTTCAAAATGCCTGTCACTTAAACACAGTTGTATTCTGGGTCTATCAAGTCATGTTTCTATTTTCTTGCCTTCAGGAGTATATTCATTTTCAATTAAAAAAGAGCAATTTTCTCCATGCTTAGGAACCCTGCCCAGAAGGCCCTGTGGCACTTAACGCAGTCAAAGTATCTGTGTCCTCAATATCCTTCCCTCAGACTCTCACAGGTAAAGGTTTTGAGAGGGATGGAGCCCCAGGCTCACTGCCACTGTCAGACAAGGAGGCCCCTCCTCCAGCACCCAAACTATTAGCACTGACTTCTCCTGAAATGCAGGTTACCCCAAAATGCCTACACTTAACCACAGAGGTTGGTCTTTGTTTAGCAAAGAATGTGTCTCTTATGCAAAGCAAAGAATTCCTCAGAGCACGATCTGACTGGAAGGCAAACACCACAGGTTTCCAGCTGTTAGGAATTGTTCCTTGCTCATCTCTGGGCCCCTGCTTTACCCCCAGAGCCTAAGCAAAGGTGGGCACTCCACACAGGGTCACTGTCAACTCCCATGGATCCTGACAAGAGGTTCAGGCTTATTGTTCTCATTCACATTGCTTAACAGCATACAGCCTATTTCTTTCTGTGATCAATTCTTTCCAGAGAAAGATCACGGACTTCCATATTTCTGCACAAGGATTTTCTATGGGTGCAAACATAAAATTATGTTAAAAGTTCTGGTAAAACACATAGAGATAGAAGGCTTACATTTTTCCAGTGTCTGCTTTCCTGCAACCATATACTTCGCCAAATCCTCCTCGTCCAATAATCCTGTGTACACTGAAATCGTTCATGGTCAACTGTGAAATCAAAGTGAAAAAATGACAACATGAAATCACATAAAGTTATATCACTTCAAAGATTTGTTTTCAAGAAAAATACATGTAGCAATTTGGATTTGGGCACTGACACCTTCTACAACTGATTGCTGAAGCTGCAAGATGTAACACACAAAGATGGTTAAGATGGCCGGTGACCTCCTCTGCACAGTACAAGGACACAAGGCACACCATAGAGGCAAATGGGAAGAGGATGGAATGGGAACAAAGTCAGCTGGCTGGCTTTTCCACTCATGTGAATCTTAGACTGCAATACCCTAAAGACTAATATGTGTGGAATTTCTGGTCAAGATAAGAAGTAACTTCAGCCATGCCGAAAGTTTGGGAAGAATTCAACAGTTCCAGGAACTCTCAGGGTAGAAAGATGAGAGCCTTGGTCAAGTGCATCTGTATCTTCAGGACAATGGCTGGCTGATCAGAAAGCCCAACTGATGGCAGCCATGTGAATTTCCTACTGATAACATCAGCAGAGAGAGAGGACTTGTGCTGGGCATGTGAGCATGAAACAACACCAAATGTGAGAAAAGAAAATAAAGAGGCTTTATTCATCAGCACTTTCCTTTTTTCAGCAATCACTTGTTCAGTAATGTTCCAGTACATAAGTAGTTTTCATAGCATCAGAAGGCACAAAGGTAGATAGTGAATCTGACATTCATGGCAAGAGGCCATCAGACAGTCACAAATGTCTGTCTCCTGCTGATGTATCCTGGCAAATTCAGGGTTAAGACTCCAAGGCTTCCCCACACAGCACTTGAAGCATCACAGGCCTTCATCTTGTCACTTGGTCTGAGAGGGCTTTGAGCTAAAATAAGGAAGCTAATCCACTCTTCTGTAGCAGGTTTTTTTAGGACATGGCAGTAAGATGCATGAGAAGGATCTACTAGCAGAGATTTTAGGATACGCTCAGGAGTGGAATGCGAGTGCTCAGAGAAACAAGATGCATTATACATTGGAACTGGGAATACATAGATATATGTGTGTGTGTTTTCTTAAAGCAGTGGAAAAGCCTGGGAAAAGATGGCCTACCCTTCAGAAGTGTATTAGCCCATTTTACAGATAAGAGTAGGTTTTTTAAAAATAGGTAATTTAAACACTCTTTGGGCTCACTTAACCTGCTCCTTTATTTTGGATCAGGCTCCTGCTCCTTACTTTTTAATTAAGTCAATTTATGGGCTTTTAGTATTCTTTTTCCCCCCCACTATTATTCTTGAGGAATTTGGGTATGATGGGTATGGTAGGGAAAGAGTCTAAATTTAACCAAAGGAATGCATATATGGGATCACCTTGGGTAACTCTGGCTGACTCCTGGACATTAGAGTCTTCTTAAAAGTACAATTTCTTTTACTTATGATTTCCTTGTCTCCTTTTTACCTAGCTTTTATTTATTCTATCCTACCACAATATCAGCTTGCTTTGGCTTCCAGTCTATACAGCTAATGCTTAGAGTCTGCAAGGACCTGAGGTCTGCTCACCGATCCACAAGAGATGCTAGGGATTTTTAAAATGTGAGTTATAGTCTCTTACTTCTAAGTCTTGCTTGGAAATATGATGGAAAAGGAGGTTTAAACAATTCCTCTTCCAACAGTACCATTTCAAGTGTAAATGAAAAGAAGAAGGGAAGGGAGTAGGAAGGGAGGGAGAAAGGAAAGTCAATGGATCTGATCCATCCTTTAGTCCAGATGCAAGCCTGAGAGGGAGCTAGGAGAAGGGTCAGAGGGGCTGCAGTAGGAAAGTGCAGTCTAAGGGGAAGTAAAGCAGAAGGACTGCCGCTGAAAACTGAAAGATGAAACCCCAGGAAACATGTGCTAGAAAGCAGCCTGCGTTTGAAGACTGCTTTTGTCATTCTCAAAGTAATAAAAACAGAGAAAACCTTGTTCTACTAAAAAATGTCATTGTTTTTATGATTACATCCAATATTTGTTATCATACCTGATAATGTGAAAAAGAAGAGACTTGTTAAGAATACAAAAGACAAGGACATGGAAGTTGCATTAAGGTATGTATTTCGACTACTACTTCTGTGAAAGGGTCAATCAGTGCTTAAAATAGCCTTTCTTAGGAAAATAAGCGCACTCATCCATCACTGTGAAAATAAAGTTAAAACTCTTAACTGTCTGTCAGTGACCAAGGGAGGAGGGGTTCTGAATACACAGAACTGAACAGAGGATGTGTTTAGACCCTGTACCCTTGGGAAGTATGCTCCAGAATATTTCCTCATGAGGTTAAGCCGAGGAATTTTTAATTTAAGAAAGGAAAAATAAAAAGATATACTCACATGAATATTTAATTCTACATTTTTCCACTGACAAAATCTAGTGAACTTGTCACTAAAAGAGAATACAAATAATTACTGAGAAGTATCAAATTAAATGGACATGTAAAACAATGTTATAAGAGAAACTAGAACTGCATTACTTGTGTTGGTTCTCAAACAAGGCAATTTATCTCCAGCACTGTTTCACAAAACATTCACCAACAATCATTGCTTTATTTTACAAATCAAATGAAAGGTTCAAGTCTCTCCCTTAATTACCATAACTATGCTGACATTTCTATCTGACTTAGTATTATCCAACAGGGAGATAACACAAGTCACATATATAATTTAATAATATACTTCAAGGACTCGATGGATAAAAAAAGATTACTTTGACATGTAATCAGTATGAATTTATCAACAGGATATTCTACATTCTTATTTATACAGAAGACCTTCGAAATCTGATGTATCTTTTGCAGTTACAGTGCATTTGAATTTTGACTCATCTCATTTCAAGTGCTCAGAATCTTGGGTGGCTAGTAGCTATCACACTGGGCAGTGCAGCTCTAAATGGTGAAAAAAATTAATGTTCACAAATAATTTTAAGAGTAGCAAGCACTAAAAAACTGTGCCTACCATGTGTTAGGTAGGGCACATATGCTCCTTTTAACAGTTCTATTTTTTTTGGTACTGGGTTTTGAACTCAAATCCTTACACTTCCAAGGCAGGCAGCAGAATCACTAAGCTGAATCCCTGGCCCTACTTTCAACAGTTCTAAGGACAGGTACTATTGGGATTCCACCTTAGCAGAGAAGATTAAAGCAGCTAAATACCAAATGGCTTGGCCAAGGTCACATGGTAGGAGAGTGGGTGGAGCCCATGTGAACCCAGATGAACAGGATCCAGACATCTTAATCAAAATTTAGCACTGCCTCTCAAAGATATAAAGAGCATGGGAGAGAATCTCTCAGATTAGAATCCTAAAATTCAGTGTCACACACCCTGACATGCTTCTTCAGTCTTCTCAATTGTTCAGCAAGTGACTGCTTCAACAACAAAAATAACTATCAATATTTACTTAATAAATACATTATTTTCATTACTTTTTAACTAATGAGCAACATATCTGTAAATTAATTAGTAAATAGCTGTTCAGAATAAATGCATACTATTGGGGATGACAGCACAGATCAGTGCTAAGGCACTTGACTATGATATGGAAGGGCCTGAGTCTAATCCTGCGCATTGTATTTAAAAAAAGAGAGAGAGAGAGCAAGGAAGGAAAGGAGGGAGAGATAGGTAGAAGGCAGGAGGGGAAAGAAAAGATGGAAGGAAAAAAATGAGTCCTAAACTGAATTCTCCTTGAAAGCACAGACTATTCTTGGTGAAAACTGGATCTTATCTAGCCTTAGCTTGATTCCTTACAAAGACACAGGATCCAGTGCCCTTAGAATGAAAAAAGAAAACAAGGGGAAAAGGAAGAGAGGAAGGACAGAAGGAATATCTACGAAGTGCACGTTACAGGTATTAACATGAGTGTAAGAGAATGCCACAGAACACCCAACTACCACAATTCCCTATGGGTTTTATTTAATAGGACTTTAAAAAATAAAGATCCTTTACAAATACTTTTAATGCTAACAAGATGATTAAAACTCAAAACCAGAAGAATTCTTCGTAATCAGATAGTAACTTTTTCAGTGACTCCAAAGAGTATTTCATTAATTTTCCTAATATCGCTATGAGCTTAGTAAATTACCATTATCTTTTGAGAGACCCCGTTTTCCAGCATGTACCTGCAGAAGGACCAGCCATCGGGGTGTTCCCATATTTATAAATCCATAACCAGCCCCAGAACTTCCCTTGGACTCAGGGGCTCATGTACACTCCTTCTTCACAGATCCTGGCACTCAGAGCTGGTGCAACGAACAGTGACTTGGCACTCTTTACAGGTAGCCTGAAGTTTAGCAGACCGGGAAGAGAGGGGCAAGGGCACATTAGCCCACCAGGTATGGATTTGCTGTAACGAGTTCCTCGCTTGTGCGCTGGGTGTCAGGGTCTAGCCCTGTCTGCCTCTGGGTGATGTGACTATGCAATATTCTTGATCACCACTGGGGCAGAAGGAGCCTTGATGAAGAGCACAGGTTGTTGGTAGCCACAGCCTCTGCAGAGGCCTCAAAGATCAGTCAAAGACCCCAAAATGCCTGGACGCAGTGTGGGTGGCAGCCTGTTTGAACTGTGATGCTCACTCAGTGTCTGTGCTGCACAGCACCAGAAGCTTGCTGCTCGAGCAACAGGCTCACAGGCCTCCACACAGAGCCAGCCCCCTGGGAGTTTAGTCCTGGTCACTGTGCAGGCCTCTGCAGGAGATGGCAGCTAGACCCCCGCACTGCTGGGTTCTTCCCCTTTACTGCCAGACTGCAGGGTGGCCGCCAGGGGGCAGTCACCTGAACTTGGAGCCCAACCCACCAGGTCCCACGATGCTTGATCGAGGACCTGTGCTTTCCAAAACCAAAACTCGTGACTTGACAGGGAATTTCTATTTCTAATTTGAGAATGCATCAACAGAAAAAGAACTGAAAGGTGTAAGGATTAACAGAATGATTTTTAAAACAACTTATATAAAACTGTAAATGCTTCAAAACATGTGGAGTGCATGCTTCCTGAAATGCAGGTAATTTCCCTCGAATTCCCTGGAACAGGTGATGGCTAACTTGGGGAAAGAAAAAGCTATGCCAGCTCTGGGTCGGCAGAAGGATGTACTTTGGAGTTAGACCACATCCAGGGAAGACTTGCCTCCAGCTTTGGATTACCAGCCCATCTTTCCCATCTCCCAAGGGTCCACTGAATACAAAGGTGACTGAAGAGGTGAGCAAGCTCAGATTTGAGGAGCACCGGGAATGGAGGTGGAAGCCCAGCCCAGAGCCAGCAGTCCTTCCCTCGGCCTCACTGTTGTGCCTTCTGGCAGAGTTTCTGCTGTGGCTCAGAAGAATATAATCACTTGTATGTACATTCCTTTCCCAAAGTATTGACTCCACTCCAAGGTAAAATTATCTCTTGAACTCCAACAGAATCACAACACAGTTTCTAATTGCTTTAACTCTTTGAGTACATGAGAAGAAAACTACAGAAAAGCAGTGTTGCTCTTTAAGTATAATTACTGAGCAGCTGTACACAGCTCCAGCCATGAGACATGATCGGTGTGTCAACCATCTAGAAATGATCCTTGTTTAGGGTGAGAAGGGTCAGTGTGAAGGCAGACTAGGCTGTAGGAAGTCTAATTCCCACAGTGCGCCATGAGAAGCATGACCCACGAAAGAACTGATGGGTTGGTATCTGAACATCACATGAGACAAATGTTTCTACAGGTACTACTGGCAAACTGCAGAATATTAGAACACAAACATGCTCTCTGGGTTGAGTAGCCCACAGGAACATAATTCTTAGGTATTTTAATAGTGCATACAATTATAAACACACTGTAGCCTATGCCCTTAAATTCCATTAGTACATGAAGCATGGAGTTTGGGCTTGTCTACCTTTGGGAGATATGCCATCACAATCCAAAGAAATAAATCTGATAAATTACACTTTAAAAGATACTTTAAAAACTGAAGTTCCCCTGTCTATTTAAATTTTAGATCAGTTGAAGCTAAAGAACTGAAGGCCAAAGGGATATGAAGCTACACAAACTCTAAATTTATAAAGTATAGAGCAAAGGCTGACACATAAGTCTTGGCAATATGTATACATGTATATATGCACAAAGTTGCATACCTTTCCATAAACTTTTGGAAAATGCTTCCTCGGAGACTTTCACAAATTTCTTCTATGTATGGCTGGAAAGGATGGAAAAGAAGTCACACATTGTAAACACGATATATTAAAATGAAAGGTACAAACAAGTGAGAATCAGCCCAGGTGAGGTTCATGGTGATGCAGTCCCACTGCACCATGTCCCTGTCCCTCTTGGTGGCTGTCCAGTTTTCACTAAGAGATTCACTACCAGGACTATTTATTTCATAGCTGTCTCCAATACTGGTCCCACGAAGACAGGGGCAGGTCTGCATAGTAAGTCACTGCATCCTTGCTGCCTGGTACAGCTCCTGGCAAGTCACAGACCCTTCCTAAATGACAAGGGCCAGCTTCGTGAGTGTGCAACTCTGAAGATCCTGGCGTTGTGTTTAATGTTCCTCTATCCCCATCTCAAATTCTTAATAAGTTCTGAAAAGGGACCCCGTGTTTTCATTTTGTACTGGGCCCTGTGAGTCATAAACTACTAAAAGCATTAGTGATCTGTGTTCATGTCGAGTTTTAATGACGAAAAGCAAATAATTCCATAGTTATCTTAACTAGCTATCTTACTCACTGACTTCTTACCTCTTAAAAGTAGAGCTAAAGGTAATCAGGAAGGAGAGTTAATTCCACTCAGTTAATCCCACGTTCAGAATAGGAGGCTTTGGGACTGTGGGCAGGTGCAGCCCCAAAATCTCTGAGCAAGTTCATGGCTAATGGGGTTGAAGCCAGAGGCTCGTGGTTCGTGTGTACAATGCCTTCGCTTTAGAGCAACTACAATCTACTAAAGTTCTGTGCTGCTTTATCCATTACCAAATAAGCAGTGTAAACTGCTTCAGGTGAGCAATTTTAAATCAGATACAATAAAATTATCAAGTGCGGTACTCTTTTACAGTTCAACTGAGAGCCAAACAAGATCTTTCTGGAAAACATCTCAATGACCCAAATTGTTAAACAATTCAAAATTTAATACTTTTGGTGACTTTATGGATTGTCCTGAATGTTTACAAAAGAGCAACCAATCCTGGCGTGGTCCGGAGTGCTAAGGGGAGAAGTCTGCAGAAGCCAGGAGGACCAGACCCCTGGGAATCTCATTTCCTGCTGAAGAAAGAAGACTGCACTGGCAAGGGGTATTCCCTGGGGACATGCCGACCTCTACCCCACCTTCCCCAGGGCTACTGCTGTCTGGAGAAGGCTCGGGACTGGTCCCTGAAGCCATGTGGAATTAGCTTCCTCCTTGATAAAAGGGGAGTCGAACTCTCTGAGGTAATCTCCAGCTCTGAATCACTAGGACTCCATGGCAGCACACCATGTCCATCTTAGCCATGTCCTCTGCAAGACTCAAAAGGTTATGTGGACTTCAAGATACAAAGCAGATCAAGCGTTTAAAGATCTATAAAAAGGCTAAATTTTATATATCAGACTTTCTTTTATAAAAACAATTATATCAATTAATATTTTTCTTTTCCATTTTGTCAAACAACCCACATTCTCTGCTAAAGAGTAAAAAGACAGTAGTCTCTAGGAATTCTTAACCGCTCATGGACTGCACTGCTTCAGCAGAAGGAACAACTAACACACCCAGGGAGCACAGCAGAAGCCAGAAGTGGCAGTGGGACGATGAACACCTGCTCCTCTCTCTGGTGCTCTGTACTCTTAATCTGTAAAAGGAAAAGCCAGGAACACTGGCACATGCCTGGAAACCCAAGCCCTCTGTGAGGCCGAGGAAGGAGGATCATAAAGTCAAGCCCAGCCTGGCAATCTGGCAACTTAGTGAGACTTTGTCTCAATCGATTTTTTATAAAGGGCTGGGGATGTAGCCAGCTCAGTGAGAAGGTCCGGGATTTAATGCGCAGTAGCACAAAAAGAGGAGGCAGAGGCAGATAAGCTGGATCTCATTTGGAAGGCTACCTTAAGACTTAAAGTGAGAATGTCTCATGTTTAGCCATCCAAACACCAGCCCCAACCTTTCCTAGCCCCCACTACCAAAAGTACCTATGCAAACACCTACCTCTCAAGTTGAGCTTGCAAACAAAATGAATTTCATAAAAATCTTTTATTTACTTGGGGAGCATTTTTATTACTACAAATTTCAACTTTATTGGTTGATGTACCTCTATAAACAGGACAATCAAACATAAAATGTTTATTCATATTTTATCACTATGCTCCTCTGTTACATGTTAAATTACACTAACACATTCACTTTAATGAATTTAGTATCTTTTTTTCTTTTGAAATAGAACAGTACCCATTCTCTTATCAAATTGTACCAGAATACTATTTTCATTCATCTTTTAAGGAAAAAACAAATTGGTAGGGTTTTTAAAAGACATCTAAATAAACAGCTTCTAAATGAATGTTCCTTGAGGGTATGCGAAGAATTTTAGTGCCATTTGTATCTCACCTGGAAAAATCCTGTTTCAATGTTATTTATGCTATAGGGAAAGTGAACATGTGAATAAAACCCCATGTGCTGCGGTTTGGATATGGGTTGAACGTGTCCCCCAAAGACTCACGCGTTGGGGGTTTGGCTGAACATGTGGCAGTGTGAGGGGCCTTTAGGAGGTGGAGCCTCATGGGGAATGATTAGGTCACCACAGGTGCTGCCCCCAGATGGGACGATGGAGTTCTTTGGAACTATGGTTAATTCTCATGAAAGGTTGTTGCTATAAAAACAAGCCTGGTTCCTCCTTTATCTCTGTGGCTTCCTGTATCTCCAGATGAACTCTCCCTCCAGCACATGCTCCTACCATGCCACCATGCCACCATTGTGTGAGACACTCAAAGGAACATTCTGATCTTAGATTTTCAGCCTCCAAATTGTCTAGTTAAATTGGCCTTTATTTATTTACGAAATACAATGCAAAACTGACTAACACACCATAAACTACAAGGAACAGTTTAGCAGCGTTAGATGTGATTGACTATAGGACTATTGGCACACCGCAGCAAAGTCAGGTGAAAAATGAAATTCTGATGTAGAAATATGGAGACAACAAAAAGCAAATATTCACACTGTACTTTTTCACTGCAAGATATCCAATAACAGCTAACATTTGGGCAGCATTCTGCCCAGTGCAAAGCAGCCCCCCATGTACCTTCCTCGTGGAATCTCAGAACCCCCTCTGAAGGTGAGGTCCTGATAGCTGCACTCCACAGGTGAGAACATGCAGTCAGAAAGCTGCAGCAGAAACACAGGTTGGGCCAGCTCATTTCAGAGATCAAGATTAGAACCCACTGGGCTCTACAGACAGGTTTTACATATTATGAAAAGTCCATCTAGTTATTTTGACAGAAGGGTAGTATCTGACTTGTTACTGTCCAAATGTTCTAAGAGCTAAATTGGTATTTTCTCTGTAAAGTGGTCAACTTTATTTTGCACAAACATTATCATAAGACATCAAATAAAAAATCAACTAAAAAAATCAACTGACTGCAAATGACTGAATAATCTAAGACAAGAATAAATTAATCATTTTCATTTATGAACATCATTGCAGTACTCAATGGCACTCTTTCACTTCTTAGAAACAGAAAAAGTACAAGATTTATGGAGAATTTGTCATTGTAAACACTACCGCTCCTTTACAGAAAAAGGGATGCAAAAGGCTTTGATGAGGCGAATCCATCTGACCTCAACAACAGCAAATGCATAGGCTTATTAGTTGTACATTTAGCTAAGTCTTGTTATCTAAATCTGTACAACTGTATTATACTCATATCTCTGAAGGATAGTCACTGCAAGTACCAACACCCTGACATTACAAAATAAATCTTGTAAATTCTGTTCATCACAGGTATTAAAATGTCAAATGAGAAAAAGCTGTCTTCTCCAATGTCTTATCTTGATTTCTAGCCCATAACATTACTAGAAAACTCCAGTACCTCTCCTCAGGCAATTCTGCAGGGCCTGTTGGAAAAGGTGCACATTTCAACAGAAGGCAAACAGCAAGCTTCAGCTGTTCCTGTGAGAACAGTCTTACAAAGCAATTCTTCTAGTATATTTGTGCACAAAGAAAGAATGACACCGAATTCCAGTGGTAAGAAAATTTTTTGTGTTTATTTTAAGATAATTTTATCTTACCTGAAAAAGAGTTGCTGTCACTTGTTTCCTGGACAGGTGACTTTGCACATGCTCTACAGCTTGCTGTGAGAATGGCTTTCAAAAATCAAAGACATGTTTTTTAAATAATTGCAAATGTAAGAAACCTCTCTACACAGTACAATATAATAAAAGATAACTCAATACAACAATTACTAAATGGTAACCTATGTATAACCTATGGTATAACCTACAATAACCTAGGGTAATTATATTAGCACACATACCTTAAGATCTGTGGTCTATCTGTAGAGAATTCAAACATGTTTATCCCCTGGATGTCTGGAGTTCTCAGACATGTGCCCAGAATGACAGCGGCACAATGGGGCCTATCTGACATATCTAATCCCAAAGGAGGTTGACGTTACTGTGGTGATAAACAGTAAAGAACCCTACCAGCACCTAATGCACACATTCCTTCACTGGTTGATAAAAGTTCTAAAAATACAAAATGTCTTCTATAACAAAAAAATGAATGCACAAGCCATGCACCTAAGAATTAAATGGCAGGTTTACAAAGCCAAGCCACAGTGCTGAAAAGTTTTGGATTCAAGAAAGTCTCGCTGCAGCCGTGGCAGAATGGATCTTCCAGAGATGTGAATTACAACTTCAAACTGTATCCTCTGTACTCATGCACGGTAAAAGCAGCTTTAAATACTACATCACGTTGCCAAAACTCCCCTCGTTGCTGCGAACATCTAGCCTTCTTTAAGGGCTGAGTCCTTCCCAGCATGGCAGGGAGAACCTGGAACCAACAATTAGTTCCACCTTAGAAATTATTTCTGTGCAAGCAATGTGGGTCAAAAGAACAGCGAAACAATGAAGCTACCAGAGGTGTAATCTTCAGCCACAGTTACACAAGCAGCAGTAAGAACTGTAGCAAACACCAAGAGCAGAAGCACTAGAGTGCATCACTTCTGTGACCGTTTTGCCATGATGAAATGCTGTGCTCTAGTGTCATCCCATGAAAAAGCCAATGGCCACGTGGGGCTACTGAGCACCTGAGTTACATGTGGCTCATGAGGAACCAAGGAAGTATATTTGTAACCTCATCTGATTTAATTAATTCAAACAAATTCAAATAGCCACAGTGGCTAATGGCTACTGTACTGGACATAGTAGGCCAGGACTGTCAGTCCATTTCTGTGAAATATAGTGTTACTTTACAGATTTTTACATGGTAAATTTACATGACTAATTATTCTACTACTTGGTGGTGAAATAATTTCCTAAGAACTCAGTTTAACTAACAGCCAAATTATACTATTTATCTGATTTACAAGGAAAACAATTATTTCAACCATTATTTAACTATTCATGAACAAGATTAATATATTACAGTCCTTATTAATTCAAAGAAAGTATTTAAGATTTACATTTATAATATTTAATTAACTTGTTAAAGCATAACTAAATTAAAATAATAAAACAACTTCCCTCAGAAAGTTAGAATTGAGATTTTTTTCTTCAGTGGATCCAAGCTATTTCATCAGTTTTTTGCAGTGAAATTATCAGTGTGTGAAATACACTAAATGACCATGATGAAAGAGATACTGTGTATCATAAGGAAACAACTGACAAAATAAGAAATCGGTTCTGCCCTAGATATACATTTTAAAAATTTTAAACACCTTCCTACTGTTTTAGGTTTATTCTGGAAATGCTGAAAGCAGTATCATCGTTATCACACAAAAATAACAGAACCAGAGGTAACATTTACATGTGAACAAGAGAGAAGCTCCTTCATGATGTAGGCATCATAAATCTGCCGACTTCTACGCAGACGATCTTCCTCATTGTCAAGCTTCTCATATTCCTTTATCTGGATTTTAGAGAGTCATCACTGTTAGGGTATGTCTTCCTGAAAACTTATGTTATTTAGAGACATCACTAACCCAGGCATAAAACCACTTCCACATAAGATAAAGCAAATTACCGACCCAGTGATTCCACAGGAAATGACTATTTTTAATGTTGGAATAATGTTGTTATGATTTAAATTTAACTAGAAACATACAAAGGGGCTTTTCATCTATGATCAGCCTCATCACTAAAATGTTCCAACACATAACATTAGGAAACAAATTCTACCATGGTTACAATTATCTTACAATACACCAGCCATGTGCCTTTCATCTTTGCCAGTTCTCTTCCTCAGAGCACAAATAATTTAAATTTGGCTGTAATTCAGTTCTGAGTTATGATGGTGTTTGTTCTCACTCAGTTACAGTGTTCCAAAACAGGAGAAAAAAATAGGATTCCTGCAAAGTGATTTCTAAAAATCAGCTAAAGTAAATAAATATTTTAGAAAGGAATTAACACATAGATAAAAGAATTGAGTTTTCAATACAGGTGCAGTGGTGCATGCCTATAATCCCAAAGCTCTGAGAATAGTTTAAACCCAGCCTGGGCACTTTAGTGATTCAGCAAGACTGTCTCAGAAACAAAAATAAATCAGAGCTGAGGATATAGATCAAAGGGAAGGCTCACGGTTCAATACCCAGTAACACACACACACACAAGCACGCATGCATGCACGCACACATACATGCACACCGCACACAAATACTGGTTTTTCAGCACTATAGAAGTATTAACAGGAGGGGTGGAAGAGAAGGAAGGGAAATGCAGAAAAAAATAAGAACCAAGATAGATTATGTAAAGGTACAAATTTCCTATGATGAATGCCATTATATCGTATACCTAAAATGTACGAATAAAATTAATTTAAAAACTATTAACATAGAGGTTATTTCTAATGCTATATTTCAAATACTTTATTAGTTAACCTGGTTGGTATTAAGAGAGGTTAAATATAAAATGTGTTATAGAAATATTTGTCTTATATGGAAATGGTCCCAATTGTTTTAACTTGGTAATAGAATGTCTTAGATCAGAAAATTGTCCCATTTATCTATATAAATGCTTTTAATACAAAAGACCAAAAAAAGTAAATGAAATATGGAGCACAAAGGAAGACGACAGCAGATCTCCAACATACTGACATTGCCACATATGACTTACTTTCTGAAAACAATGTTTCTAACATTCAGTAATTCATCACATAGACTTTCATAATACCTGAGAGCCTTTCACTCTGGGATAATAAGAGGTGGGGCTGACTAGTACAGGAGACAGTACAAACTAAATATAAATAAGTTAACTTTTCAATTATAAAGCGAATTTGATAGCTTTGAATCAAAACTAATAAATTCTATAAGAACTCCTACAATAGATAAGAGTTCAGGGATGATGGGACGAGGAGTACAGGGATGTGAAATACTGAGGGCCCATATATGGTTCACACACTGGGAAATGACTGGGATTATCCTATATATTCTGAAAGAGCCTTATCCCCACTGTGGCAAGGTGATGGCTGGAATGCATGCTTGAATTACTGCTAGGGTTTAGAATGGAGTCCTTTGGAACAGACAGTAAAGCCCAACATAAAGGCAGGGAGCCTGGTGTGGGCTAATACCCACTCAAGAAAAAGAGCTTGAGTGCAGCATCAATCCAGCAGTACTAGTGTCAGCAAAAGCCAGAGCTGCCCCATCCCAAGTCAACTCAGCAAAACAGGTACCCAGAGGTGAGCACTATGCTCTGCCCTGAGGAGCAGCTATGCCAATGAAGGAGGCTGCAAAATTAACTTTAGGATAGAGACTAGAACTCCTGACTCTCCATTAGGTCAGAGCAACTCTTGAGGCCAAAGATTACTTGTAGTTAACAGGAAAATAACTTGCCAAGTATGAGGACATGCTCTAAGACACCCTAAGGTTAGCACCACTCCTCACCCTGCCTCTTTGATGTCTACAGGCCCAGAAATTAGCCACTCCGGTAAATAAGTAATCTCTCAGACCTATGCAAGCAGGCAGGATATCAATGACCTGTCCCTTCGAGACCCTAAGGAGGTGTGGTTCACTGATGAAAGTAACTTTGTCCAAGAACATTCACAGGCAGGTTATGCAGTTGTCAGTCTACAACAAGCCATTGAGGCCAAGTTCATCCAGGGACCTCTGCTCAAAAGGCAGATCTCATAGCTCTTACTCAAGCATTGACATTAGGCTATATATCTATACCAGTGGTGGCAAAGCTACCCATCATTGATCTATATGGACTCCAAATATGCCTTTCTGGTACTACAAGTCCGTGCAGCAATCTGGAAAGAAGAAGCTTACTGACTAACAAGCAATCATTTATAAATAAAACACCAAGAGGGAATTCTACAACTGCTAGAGGCTGTCTATCTTCTCAAGCAGTTTGCAGTCATGTATTGTAAGGGTTCATAAAGAAACAGGTCTGAAATGTCCTTGGGAAATCAAAAGGCAGATAGGGAGGCAAGAAGGGCAGCCCTATAGCCTTTTAAGACCCTAGCCCTATTCCCAGTTTTTGAGGACCTATTTGGTCCTTCTTCAAGGAATGCAGTGACAAGCTATAAAAAGCCTACATGGGAAATAGTCACTAGAATTTTCACAGGACTAAGAAGAAAGCTATTCTTCAGACCCTCTGGAAGACTCTAGGCTCCTCTTTAGAAAGTAAGACTCTAGTACTACTCATTGTGGAGATAAGTACACTCACTAATGACCCTAATTCACTATAACTTAGACGGGCACCTATATTGAGTCTCCATTTTTTAATCAGACCCATTATGTGGGTAATCTTGTAAGGTGAGGCTCTCAGGTTCTTGATAATTTATCTAACCTCCCTCTTTGCCATACTTTGTCCTCCATAAGAAGTATACAAATCTGCTTCTCATATTTGGGCTAATAGCACAGTTTCTTTCTCCCATCAAACAGGCAGCTCAATGGTCACTAATGCTTTTCTCATTGTCTTCTGACAGGGTTTTTCCTTTGACCCACCAAGCAAGCCACAGTACCTCAAGGGAGTTGGAGAGCACATGATCCCCAGTGGGTAGGAAGAAGCTGGAAGACAGAGGACTCCATTCCCTCAGCACTCCATAAAGAATCACGTGTCCCTCAGAGGGAAATGAGATATGTGTCCCTCAGAGGGAAATGAGACAGGAGATTAGGGCAAGGCAAAGCTGGCTAGGGAAGTATGCATGACCTGTTAATTATAAGATTCCAGAACACACATGCAGAACAGTTCCCCAAACCCTGCACACAGATTTCTTATGAAAACCTGAGCAGGTGTTCTACAGGATATCCCAGACCTGATGTCAGCCTGAGGTGTGGGACACCTCAGGACAGTTGCTATTGAGTTTTTACAACTGTGTTCTCTATCCATGGTGGCCCATCCTCAAGCTTTAGGGCTTACTTCTTTTCTTGCTTTTACTCACTCTGAAGAGCCTATTTCTTTTCCTAGTTTTAATGAAACTGAAAGAAAGAAAAAAGAAAGAGACTAGATTATCTCTGGCTGAAAGTCAGCATTCTTTTTATTTTTGGTTTTTTCAGATAGAGTCCCAGGCTTATCTTGAACTTGAGGCAATTCTCCTGCCTCAGGCTCTTGAGTGCTGGGATTATAGGAATGCACCAACATGCCTGGCTAGCATTCATTTTCTACTATCACTAAGATCATCAACTAAAGAACATCTAGCCAACTATCAAGAAGTCAGAAATAGAACATCCTTATTGCAACACATATACAGCCCAAGCCACCTCAGATTCTGGCAGTTAGGTTTACCAGGCACCTGAGCAGGCATGTGGGGTCCACAACTATAGGACCGGAATGCTGTATCAGTAATGAACAGTCACTGATTGTGTTGTCCCTTTGCCTCTGGTGAGCCACAGCCCACAGCTGACCCTGTTGCAGCCTATGTACCCACAACCCTGAGGGCAACACCTTCAGTCCACAGCTGCTGGAGGCTCTACTTTCTCACCACCCACCAATAAGGTGGGAGAATAAAGTCACCCAGAGCCTCTGCTGGACCTATCTCCAGTTACCCGCCTTTGCACTTTGCTCCACTGATTCCTGATTGGCAATGAACTCAGCTGTCTGCTCCCACCATCCATGCACCCTGCTCCTCTGACTCCTGAGATCACATTCCTCGGGCACTGCCCCCACGCCTCCTTGTTGGTCGGTCTCCACCGTAGGTAGTCCTTCCTCCCCTGCTTGACCTCTGAATATCAAAGTGTCTCAGAGTACCCTGCTAGACAGCCCTTTGTCATAGCCATACTCTCCCTGGATAAAGCTCTTTAATCCTGTGGTTTCAAATACCAATTACATTTTGAGGACTCAAACTGCTACCCATGAGCTCCAGATTTCAAATATCCAACCATGTATTTGACATTTTCAGTTGAATATATAGAAAGTATATGAAATTTAACATATCTAAATGAAACCTTTGATTTCCACATCCTCCTACTTTACTGTAGTTATCGTACACACACTCCTCCCCCAGCAGTCATCTTTGAGTGAAAACCATTCTTCCTTTTGCATAAATCCAAAGTGAATGATCCTACTCTTTTGCCTGCACTCCAGCCATCACTGCCCACTACATTCAATTAATCAACAAATCATGTTGCATTATATTTCAAAGAAAGCACAAATCCAGGCTCTGCAAACGGCAAGAACTAACTAGCTCGAACCAGAACGATTATCCACACAGTAAGCAGTCCTGAACATACAGGAGATGCAACTGTACATGGGTGCTGGAATGTGACCACAGGTACAAAGACAGTTTCAAAAACAGTCACAGAAAGGAACCTCCAAAGTTCCATAGCAAATTCTGTTGAAATCTCTGGTGGACCAGGGTGATTACAGGAGCATGGTAGACCCTAGCAGCCCAGGAAAAGCTGAAGGACTGGAGAAGGCATAGCAACTGCCCATTTGGAGAAGATCAGCCTGGGTGTGGGTGAGCCAGGTTAG